GTTTAGGGGTTTAGGGTTTAGGGTTTAGGGTGTATGTACTTAGTCTACGATAGAAGGTTTGAGCTTTTGTTGGGGCCCGGGTATTCGAGAAGAGAGTTTTCTGACAGTTGAGCAAGCACGCGGGAAGCAAAGCCGTCGAGTCGTTTCGGGAAACTTCCCCCTGCGACTTTGGAGAGTTGTCCTAGAGAGCCCATATTTACCACCATACCCTAAACCCTAAACCCTAAACCGTGAGAGCCCATATATACCACCATGGTGCCCGAATGCCCCGAAAGACCAACGAAAAGTAACAACTCTGCGGACCAAGCTTCAGGCCTGGAGCCCTAAACCCTAAAGGCCCTAGACTTTGAACCTATTTCCTCTATAGTAGATGTCATGGTAGGGCCAGTAGGGTTTGGAGAACCCCCGGCCCTGAATCTTTACAAAGTGACCATATTTGGGGTTTAGGGTTTATAGGGTAACGCATACAAGGTAGGTTTTAATGAGCCCTAAACCAGAGGCCATTTCCTGCTGTGGTGCGCAGTGGCAGGCAGCATTGCAAGTCCTGGCGGAGATTGCAAAATATGCCGTGCCTAATGTCTCTGCGCTGAGCTTGAGTATCTTTTAAAGCCCTAGAAATCCTAAACCCTATACCCTAAACCCTAAGCCCAACTTCTCCCTTTCATCTGAGACAGTTTGTTCTGAAGGTTCAGCTGAACCCACGGATTTGCAAGCGTGTCGTAGGGTGTTTGTTGTGATACAAGAGTCCGAGCCATGGTTCAGGATTTCGTTGTTGGAGGTAGGCGCAGCAGTTCCAGAAGTGCGTCTTCCTCCCCGGGTGCTCTACTCTGCTCATGCCCAGTAGACTGCCTAAGCTTCAGCTTCAGTTCTGTTTTTTTCAACATACTGGCCCTAAAGCCTAAACCCTAAACCCTGGGCGCCTGAGGTTTATGGCTTCAGTGCAGCCATCACAGCCTGTGAGCGGGGAAGGCAGTGGCACCCGGCCCTCCACCTACTTTCAGAGATGGGGTCAGTTCGAACTGCGCCCAACGTTTTCAGCTTCAGTGCCGGTATCAGCGCCTGTGAGAAGGGCGGTGAATGGCAGATGGCCTTGCTTCTGCTGTCAGAATTGCCCCTCGAGTCTATCCTCCCAAATGTCTTCACTTTTAGTGCTGCGATCAGCGCCTGTGAGAAGGGGAGCAGATGGCAGATGGCCTTGCTGCTGCTTTCAGAAATGCGATCTGCCCGCGTGGCTCCCGACAGGGTTAGTTTCAATGCGGCCATCAGTGCCTGTGAGAAGCCAGAGAGTTCAGCAGTACCGTTTTGGTCAAGTTTTGTTTTAGGGATCTCCTGTTGGACACCGAATGCCGGTAGGAAATGTAGTTCAATATTACCGTTGTTATTCTGGTTAGTCCTTGTCGTAGTAAGAACAAGGGTAACCTTACCATCAGAGGGCCAGCTTGGGAACTTAGGAAGAAAGCCGAATGGCAGATGGCCTTGTGGCTTCTGTCAGCGATGCAGAACGCCACCGTCACCCCCAACGACTGTACCCTCAACGCGGCCATCAGCGCGTGTGAGAAGGCTGGGGAGTGGGAGCTGGCTGTATCTCTACTTTCGCAAATGCCCGGAGAACGTCTCATGCCGGATGAGATCAGCTTCAACGCGAGCATCAGTGCATGTGAGAAACGTGGGGAATGGCAGGCGGCCTTGTCCTTGCTGGCGGAGATGCTTTCAGCCCGAATCTTGGCAAGTGCAGTCAGCTTCAGTGCGGGCATCAGTGCATGTGAGAAAGCTGGTGAGTGGCAGGTTGCCCTCTACCTTTTGTCGCAGATGCCTGCTGCAGAGATTCTACCCGATCAAGTTAGTTTCAGCGCCGGCATCAGCGCATGCGAGAAAGCCGGCAAGTGGGCGGTGGCCCTGCAAATCCTGTCGCACATGTCCGCAGCCCAAGTACTGCCTGACGACATCATCTTCAATGCCTGCATCGGTGCCTGCGCGAAAGGCGAAAAGTTTCGAATTGAATACGAAGGCCGACGCCAGCCTCACACCCTGGAGCACTGCTCCTCAGCCCCTACAGCCCCACGACCAATCGAAATCTCTCAGCCTTCAAGCCTAGCATCTAGGTAAAGTCAAGACAGCTGTAAGCTAGCCCAGCCGTTGATGCCGGACTTTTCACTGGTGACGCCTCCTTATGCATTGCTTACACAAGTCCTCATGCGGGTAGGCCCCCCGAAATTCCAGGTAAGCACCGAAGCTCCACAGCTTTGAAGCCCGTAAGAAGCTCCAAACCCCGAAACCTAAAGTCCCAAAGACGTAGAGCCGTAATCCCTTCTCCACCAAAACTCGAAAAACCATATATGCTTTAATTCACAGCTCATCAAAACCAAAACTGTGTTTCCTGCCTCTTTGCTTAAGCAACAAAACAGCACGGTTCCTTCCAAAGAAAACCCTGAGCAAACAAATGAAGAATCCGAAATCCTTATAAACAAGCCCTACACCTTAAACCTGAAGCCCCAAACCCTAGACCATTATAATCAAGCCCTTCACCCAAACCCGATCCCTAAACCAACAAATCCTTACACACTAAACCCTAAATTCTTATAAACTCTAAACTCTCAGAAACCCTACCTTAAGAACCCAAAACCCACTTTTTTGTAGGTTCTTATTATAAACCCTAATATGGGATTTATAGGGACCCTACAAAAAAGTAGGTTTGCGGTTCTTAAGGTACACCCTAAACCCTAAACCAACAAGCAAAAGGTTGTGCCTCGGCCGGATACCTTGGAGGCGGGTCTGCGCCATTCACTGAAGGCGGGCGCGTCGGTGTATCGAAGTTTGGGTTTAGGGTTTAGGGTTTAGGGTTTAGGGTTTAGGGTTTAGGGTTTAGGTTTTAGGGTTTAGGGTTTAGGGTTTAGGGTTCCAGGGGTGCTGGATTTTTGGTTGTGGGATCTAGGATTTTGGGGTTTGGGCTTCCAAGGGTGTAGGGTTTTGGTCTTAGGATTTAGGATTTAGGGTTTGGGGTTCTATAGTGATTCTAGTGGGATGTTGGCCTAGTTCCCTTGAAGCACACTTAAACTAGGGACTGTGAGGATGTGCGTCCGCCTTAGGGTTCAGGGCGGCCCTCGATTCATCTAACTGCTTTAGTCGCCCTTTGAGGAAGTCAAAGTCAGGAACCTAAGACCCTAAACCTCGGGCTTAGGGTTTAGGGTAAACTAAACCCTAAACCCTCAACCTCGGGTTTAGGGTTTAGCGTTTAGGGTAAAGTCCTAAACCCCCAAACCCTCTAAGCCTAAACTCTGGGCCTTTCAGGGTGCAAGCATGGCCGCGCTGTTGTAAGACCTAAAGGGTCCAGGTGGTTCTTAGGGTTTAGGGTGTACCCAAAACCTTAAGGACGGAAGGAAGCCTAAAAGGGTTTCAGGTTCATATACCATAATCCTAAGGATTCTTAATATAAGGGTATAGGGTCCCTAGGTTCTTAAGGGTCTTTTGGTCCTTAAGGAAGAGAGACCGAAAGTCTTCTGATAGAGAGGACTTGGAACCTTGGGGACGGCTACGAGATTGTGGGTTTCGGGTGTTTTATTTCAGAACTTTTCGGGCTCAGGGTTGCAGGTTTAGGGCTTAAAAGAGTTTAGGGTTTAGACCTTTTAGGGTTTATCAGGTTAGCGGCTTGATTATTAGGGGGCTTTATTGGTCAACCACGTTTGCCCCAAGGGTCCAAGTACCTACTCGCTTGCTCCCTCCCGTAATGTTTGCCTTCAATACCAAAAACCCATTGGACCTTGAGGGTTATGGATGGTCAGGACTCTAGAGAAAACAGGCGACAACACAAAAACAACGACTACATGACCCTAAGGGTCCATGTACCCAAATGGTGTACACATTGGCCAATGTACCCAAATAGGGACTGATTTAAGGCCAAAGTATATACTCTGTGGGCCCATGGACCCTCAGGGTGAGAGAGCGCAGGTAGAGCCTTCTACGAGTTAGGATTGCTAGAGGAAGCCTTGCAGAGTCAGCCCTGAGACCTTTAAGATCCTCTCACGGCTTTCTCTCTCTCTCTCTCTCTCTATATATATATATATATATATTGCAAAACCAAAATCAAGCCTAATCTCCTAAACCCTGATCCCAAAAGCTTACTTGGAGGCCCGGGGGACGTAGTAAGTAGGTTGTAAGTGGAGTTATACCATAAACCCCAAACCCTAAACCCTTCAGAAGCCCGCAGGTATTCTAAACGGAGCTACCCCACATGTAACCCTAGCGAAGTCCCCTGGGCCTAAGAAGGAACATGGTTTTAGGAGGATTAGTGCTAGGACCCTTACTCTTTACCTTAAGGGCATTAGGATAATAATGTTCCAACTTCCTGGCT